ACCAGTTGTCTTGAAGGTTTTTGAGTTCCTGAGCTGGGGCTTACTTGCAATAAAGAGTGTAAAACATTTTTTCTTGCTTAAAATTACTATTAAAAAAATTTTTTAACAAAACGGATGCGATTAGGAGAGAGTTTTTTTATCAAACTTATTTTTCTTAATTAAAAATTCTATTTTAATATATTAATATATTTTTTATTATGTTTTTTTATTTTAATAATTTACTAATATTAAAAAAATATATTAATATATTAAAATAGAATTTTTAATTAAGAAAAATAAGTTTAATAAATATATGTAAATCCATAGTATGGTAATTATATTACATGTTACTGAAATTCATAGATCCTTGACACAATTGACACAATTATTTGATACAATTAATTAAGTCACTATTAAAACATAAATAATTAAGTCACGACGTAATTATTTTTGAGGATTTTAGGAATTGAGTCAACAGTAAAATAATTTATGACATATATATAGTAATTACCATATACTACTGCATATAATACCCTCTTCAAATACTACTCCCTACTAATAATACCAGGTAGTATTTAAGAAAATTGTTGCTTGATAATTGATTATTATCCAGGTATATTAATATAATAATAAGTAAAACAATATTATTTTGAATTTTATAATAATGATATACTCTGTCACTAATATTACCCTTTTCTAGTAAAATACTTTCTTGGGTATTATATGTAATGGTATATGGTAATACTTTACAAATCAATTATAAGATACTAGTTTCATTTTAGATAAAAATAGTTAAATAAAATCAATATAATATTTAATATTATAATTTATTAAATATTATAAAAACTAATATTTAAAAAAACTTTCTTTTAATCATATTCATTTTGTTAAAAATTTTTCTTTATAGTAATTTTAAGCAAAAAATATATTTTTTATTTTTTATTACAAGTAAACTTTAACTTAGAAACTCAAAAACCTTCAAGACAACTAGTGTAGTAAAATAGAATCTTTAGTCAAAGTATATTCAAGTTTGAAAGTCTTACATATTCTTTAGTTGTATAAAAAAAGACTTATGATAGTTTTCTATTCTTTTGTTTTCTTATATCTTTACTTATTCTTATTTTATTATAAAAACTAGTTATAAAATCACTATTATACTTACTAAATCAAATATTTTCCAAAACATATACTCAAATAGAGTTTTTAATCTTATTACTTTAATACTATTTCGATATTAGTTAGATACTTAAATTTACTATAAAATTATATGAGTATATTACAATTCATATATTAAATTTACTATAGATTAGTATTATTTCAATATCAGTTTAATACCAGTTTGATACTTTTTGAAGCTCTATACTCAAATAGAGTTAGTGAATCTACTGTTTGTTTTAAGTTAACCTTCAAATTCAATTATATTATAGCAATACTTGCTATGTTATTTCAATTTTTCAATATTTTTATTATATCAAAAAATCAAAATTATTTATTTCTTTAAATAATTAACATTCTTCAATTATCCAATCAGATTTTATATAAAAATTAAAATAAAATCCAAACTTGTTTAAATCAGTTTTGTATTATAATAATAACAATTACAATATTAATATCAATTATATCACTATTGACAATTATAACAATAAACAATATTATGTATACTCTACTATTTATAATAATTAAAGAGTTAAAGAAATGTAACAATAAGTTTGTTCAAGAGTTTTCTTGAAGAAATAATTGATTTTCTATTTATAAATTCTATAGTTTACTTTATTTAGTTTTAGTTTTAATTATGTTTATTTTTTTCTCTTTTTTAATTATTTTATTTATAAATTTATAAAAAAACTTTACAAAAATTTTTTGAATAGGTAGACATAGCCACTATTTAGACACAACTAATATATAGTATTGTTTTGAATTTCTTTTTTAATATTAGTTAGATATGTATATATAAGCAAGCTAACATTTAACTTGCTACTTTATATATATATAAGATGTTGTTTTTTTCACAATATATATCTTGTTATATATAATATCAAATAAAAAAATAATGGAAAAAAATCTCTCAAAAAAAAACTTGTTAAGTATTATTTTTTATAAGAAATCAATTTATATATTAATTTAATAAATATTAGGATTATAATTTTTAAAAAAGATATTATGACATAAAAATTATTTAATTGAGATTATAATAATTACTGAAAATTATAAAAAGTATAAGATGTCTGATTTCAAATAAAATAATTTGATAATGATTTTCTTATAATATTTAAATATTTTTTTTTACAAGTTATCAAAAAGTTTCTATTAATAAAAAAAAAAATTTTTTTTTGTATTTAAAGATTATTATTGAATCTTTTATTTTAATTATTATATTCTATAAAAGTTATATTATAAAAATAACTATTTGATTATAAAACAAATATTATTTGAAGCATTAAGAATATGTCAAAATAATTAACATTAAATTTTTTAAAAATAAAACTTGAAAAAATTTTAAATCAATTATTTTTTTTTCAAAACAGTTTTATTTAAATTTCTAAGTTAAAATTAAGAATAAAAAGTTGTTTCATTACAAAAATAAAGATTATAAATATAGAAAAGATTACAATATCTTTAAAATGACAAAAAAATAAAATAGTAATAGCTATTTTTAAATATTTTTTTATAATTTTTTTATTGCAAAATGAGCATTAAATGTAGGATTTTATTTAATCCAAAGTTTATGTAAGTTATTTGTAGCACTGCATAAGTGGGTTAAATAAAATAACGCGAATCAAAAAAAAAAAATCATGCTGATCATATATTCCCGAAATAATGTCATCACGGAACAAGACAATAACACTCGAAGATTGGGAATCAAAAACTCAACTCACAGAAACACAAAAACAGAGCGTGGTAGAACTCCAAGATGCCTGTTCCGAGCTGCCGTTACCCGACGGTGTACGCATACTTCGAATTATTTTTTACCTTTAAAAAATTGGAAATGAAAATTCATTATTCTGTTATTTCAGTTTTTCAGTGATTACGGTTCGGGAACACCTCAACGTACATCTTCACCTACCCCCATGTCCGTAAAAGATGGCTTGAAATCCTCTCCTCTTCTCCGCTCAAGTCCATCACCATTACCTCTTTCACGTTCGCGTTCTACAATTAATCTATTACTTGCGGAATTTCAAGCATCTGAGGCGGCGACTGGTGTTTCGGACGCAACTCTCGGAATATCTCAGCCGATTGAAACCACACAACAATTTTTTGACTGGTTTTCACAGATGGAAAACGATATGGAAAAGGATCAAGAAGATGTGTATAGGTAATATATATATATATATATATGTTATCTATTGCTAAATTAATTGGAAATTTCACTACTAAATTAATTAAGAAGAATTTTTATAGGAATTTCCTCGGGGTGGTTACTTTATATAGACAATCGTGCGATGCATTTCTAGAACAAATAGATAATACTGTTAAATTATTCAATGATTTGGATGGTAATTTCAAGTTTGTCGAAGAGAGAACAAAAGCTTTGCAGACAGCTTGCGAGAAATTATTGGAAGAACAAGTAAACGAATAATTAATTTATTTAAATTAATTGAATACCTTGGGATATGTTTTTACTTTCTTATTTTACTATATCCAAAGAACCACCTGACATCGTTGGCCGACGCAATGTCTTCAAAGCTGGAATATTATAATGAGCTTGAACCTATTACAAAATCATTTAATTCGTTAGGAGAAGATATTTGTGAGCAAGAAGACTTTATTCCGATGTTAACAAAGTTGGACGAGTGCTTAGAATACATGCAGAGTAATGTAAGTTTTATTGTGAAAAAAAAGGTTTGAGATTTCTTATACATTAACATTCTCCACGGATTGATTCCATACAGCTCAGATACAAGGACTCGGAGCTTTACCTAATGAGATTCAAAAATTGTATGAACAAAGGAATGAATTTAATAAAAATGCATTTTATTAATACGATCAAAGGTCTTGGTTTAGAAATTAGTAAAAGGACTTCTCAGGTATGATAGAATTATTATAAGCCATCGAATAACATAATTATTTATAAATTAAATTTATCAAATTAGACATTTGATCTCACAGTACAAACGGATGTGTTTTATGGAAAATTTCGCGCCATAGCGCCAAAATTACGTGGATCGGTATATGAAATTGAGAAACGGTGTCCTGTACATCCAGAGTATGTCTTTTAATAAGCTCAATTATTATTATTGTAAATTGTTTTTTGTGTTAACATGGCTTCAGGTACAATTCTTTGTTAAATGACTGCTATAATGCGTACTTTTCCGTACGTCAACAGATGCTTATTCCTATAATATATTCTAAAATAACGGAACTGGGATCTAGTGGACAAGATATATTGTCATTCGTAGGTATATTAGTTTAACTCGACACCGGAACGAATATAATGTCATTGATATATTCTGACTTATCAACACCAATAGTCTCGAAATGGGTATGATTATATGTTAAGCCTTTGTTCAGACGAATTTTCTTTGTTCTACGAGTTCTTCTCAACTGGCGAAGACGACCTATAGTATGTTAAATCAGTAGTAACATTCAAGATATTACGTGATTTATTTTTTTTTTACATTCTAAAACAAATCTGGATCATATATTATACAGCGGAAATTTAGATTTGTTGTGCAGTTACATGTATGACAATCTGCGTCCTCGCATTATTCACGAAACAAAAATCGAGACCTTATCCGAACTTTGTTCAATACTTATAAGTCATATTAATCAAGACGTCGATAAAGTTGATGGTTTGAAGCATGGTATTACGTTTACTAAATATCTTTAATTCTTAACTAAAATAATTTTATTTTAGAAAAAGAAAGAACGAGATTACATTTTAGCCAATTAATACGTAACGTTCTTCAAGATGCTCAGCAGAGACTAGTTTTTCGAGCGCAAACTTTCATTCAAGGTTCAATTCAAAAATTTATTCCACAACAGCAGGATTTGGACTACCCCAATAAGTTGAAAAGTTGGTTTAAACGCTAAATTGTTTGGCGCATAATTGATTTTTGGAATATGTCTTAAAAATTATTATTTTATGAAATTCAGAAAATGTTCGAACTCAATCGACAGAAACTCCCGCGTCTACAGACGTTAAAGAATCACTGCCTTCACCGACACCGGCTGCTAAACAAGATGGTGATACTGAATCCATTATATCTAATTCTTCATCTTTAACAATTGCAGAGGATACTGGTGATGGAAATCCTGAGTGGTTACCCACTTTACATCGTACTTTATGGATCCTTTCAAAAATTTACCAATGTGTTAATGTGTGTCTGATCTTTTAATATCGTATCTTTACTTGTCGCTTGCGTATAAATGTTTGAATATTTTCTAAAAATTCTGTTCATCTCGCCAGCCTTCGATATTTAATGATATTGCCCAAGATGTCGTTCATTTGTGTCTGCAATCATTATTATCTGCGAGCGAAGTGATAACCAGAGAGGTACTAGGAATTTATTGGTTTTCCTGAAACTGCGGGATTATGCATAACACTTATTTAGGATGTTTTAATTAGAGTAAGATTGATGGACAGTTGTTCTTGATCAAGCATCTGTTAATCCTCAAGGATCAAATAGCTTCATTTGATACACAATTTGTACATGAAGAAAAGGACCTGGACTTTTCATTAATGACTGGTGAGTGTTTGTTATTTCATATACCTCATTATCGATAGTCCTTATTATTGAATCGATAATCATTTGTACACAGACGCAATCAGCGAAATGTTGCAGAATAAATATACTCTTTTCAGT